CTTTCCCTAACATGTCAGACTCTATTCCTCTCCACTTGCCCTCTATTTTATGTTCTTTCTCATTCCTCTTTTCTTTCTGTCCTTTCATTTCCCCCTATCTTTCCCCCCTTATAATAATATAGTCTTTTGATAACTACATCCTTGCTACCATATTCTTCTGCCTGTCCATCTTCCCTCTCATTCAGGCTTCTTGTCTTGATCTGTGATTTGAAATCTCTACGTCCCAGTGGCAAGACCCCCCTGTGATAGCTGCCCATTCCTTTTCAAAGTCCTGCCTTGAGGTCATGCAAGCGTGTGCTCTGGAGAATGCTCTGGCATCTTCCTCCTTCCTGCTCCTCCCTCAGCATTTCACCACAGTTCCAGGAGTGAAAGTGCCAAACCTTTTAAACTGGTGAGCTGGGATAGCTATGCCTGGAGAAGAGATGTAGAAGGATGTTGTTAGGGTGATGAGAGGAACTCTTTGCAGGTTGCCAGCTAGGTTTACGTACAACCAATTTTGGTTGACCCTGGGGAAATTATCTTCATCCTGTACTGTACGAGTTAATCTATAGTAATTGCAGAGTGTGTTGAGTCCAGGCTTTGCACATCAGCTGTTCCATGCACTGCAGGAGATAACCAGCAGTAATGGGCTGCCGGAGGAGGCTGCACCTTTAGCTTCTTTGCCTGTTCTGCTGTTTGCTGCACTGCTCTCTGCCCTGTGCTGGGGCCTGCTTCTTCAGGTGATGGTATGGGATATAGAGGTGAGACTTCAGCGCTGGGCTGCAGGATTAAAAACATGAGAGGGAAAGGCTTGTGTCTGTCCTCAGTACGTTGTGGATTAGGGGACATCCCATAGTGTTGAGTTAATGTTGACCTTTCAGATGAGGGGAGCCAGGCCTGTGCTTTTCTGCACATCATTAGGGCACCCTGTTTAACACATGAATGAGAGAATTGAAGAAGGCCACCCTGACGGGAAGCCGTGCTGTCCATCTATCTGTCTATCCCATAGCATGCACTTCACGCAGCAGAGGTCTGAAGATGATCTCAGCTGTGACCACAGTCACTGCTTTCTGCTTGTTTTGCTCATAACCAACCTTGGTGTCGTTGCAGGCCATGGTATCTGCTCATGTGGCCGATGCATTTGCCAGGATGGGTGGTTTGGAAAGTTGTGCCAGCATTCAAAGAAGTGCAACATGACGGAGGAGGAGAGCCGGAGTCTCTGCGAGTCAGCGGATGGCATATTATGCTCGGGGAAGGGTAAGAACTGGCAGCCGAGCTACCCCCGTGTCAGTGCCCCAGCAGAGGAAAACAATTGTGTTCTGGAAGACTAATGAGCATGGCAGTGGGTTGTTGTTTAGTAACCCTTATTTTCAAAGGCACCTATTATTAAAAGGATGTTCTATTTGGCTCTGTAATGCACCTACATCCAGTCAAACACCCACCGCAGCCGTATGTGTTCAGCAGCATTGCTCTCCTATGCAATTTGTTAATAGCGTATAATTTCCTGTAGGTGTTTATCCGATGGTCTGCGTTGAGCAGCTGTACTTTATAAACTAACTGTTCATGCTCCATCTGGTTTGAGGGACAGGGGCACTACCTGCAGTAACACTGCAGGGGGCAAGATGTTGGATGTAATATCTCAGGCAACAGCAAGTGGAGGAGAGTGTTTAACAGCATCATCTGGCGTGCTTAATCACCCCCCCTTCCCAACACAGCAGCAAAGGAAAGGTAGACATCTGCAGCCCCCACAACAGAATCCCACAAATTCTCTCATTTACTAATTTTTATTCAGGTGGTTGCGTCAGCTTCGGTCCAGCTATAAAAAATTGCCACAGGGAGGAATAAAATTTAGAAAATCTTGATAATTATCTGAAATTGTTCTCCGAGGTTCTTACCTTGCAGTCTTTCGGGCTAGAAAATTGCGTTACTGGAAAGAGGGCTTTTTAGCTCCCTCATAGTGCAAACTCCCTATTTTTGTATATAATATGTCTGAAAGAGAATAGACAAAAAACGAGTGACGGGACTGGCTGGAGGCTAGCACCCACCCACTCCAGACTGGACGTGACATTTCCTCTGTTTGTATATCCCTTGCATAGACAGGGAAGAAACCTGCTAGCTGGAAAAAAAAAATCCTGTTAGGACCCTTCTACATCAGGCAGATTTCCAGTTGTCCCTTTGGTAACTTTTATTTTGGTGCGAAGGAAACTTAAATGGGGTTTCCAGCCTGGCCTTCTTCCACCTGTATTATCACTTGTCAGAATTTTCCCACACTGCAGCATTTTGCTTTCCCCCCCCCCCCCCCCCCGCCATCACAATGTCATAGAACATGAGCAAGTTGCACTGTTTCTCTATTGTTTCCAGAAGATGTGGCTATCTTTAAATTAGTGTATGTGTAAGAGGATGCTGAGTTACTGGAAAAAATGGAGTTACTCTGTTTTACTGCAGAAGTTAACTTTTCTTCTCTTACTCTTGTTCTCCTGTGATTTTTATATAAGCTGTGAAGGTGAGCTAATATGCTTCAAATCACTAAAATGCACTATATAAGATTCTAAATAAACGTAAACATGAAAAATTATGTTGAATTTTAAAATATTTGTATTACCTGCTACCTTTTTGTAAGGATGGCTGAGAGCTATTTATTCCAGCCTGTGGGTCTTTGAGCACGCCTATCAAGGCTACAGTTTTCTCCGAGGCTTTGGGAGCAGATAATCTGGCAGGAATGTGCAGAGACATCAAGGATTTTTTTTTTCCCTCAGTTGGCTGCGCTGCCCAGGGGGTGGTTTGGGATCTGGTCACTGATGTGGGCTGGAGCAGCCTGAAAGCTGCTGCCGGTTGTAACCAGCCGCAGGCAGGTAGTGGTGCTTTTAAACCCGATTGCACATGAATGGAGGCTCCAAAGGCCCAGATTTTCTAAGGCAGCAGCGCACTGTTGAACAGCATTTACTTTCTAAGGGAATTACAACCCCGACACTAAATCCATATTCAGCAACGCTGGTGGGGTTTTCTTTTTTAAGTCTCTTCAGCCCACAAGCACAGGTAGGCTTCCAATGTGATGGAAGGTTGCCCTGAGGACACTCAATATAATAAAGCTGTGTCAAATTAGATATTATAGCAGCTTTATTGTGGGAACAGCTGGTCATATATAAGTGTTTGTCCCAGAAGAGAGATACCTCCATAAGATAACTTCCAAAAGCGTGTAGCCAGTGAACATCTCTCCTGCCTCTTCTCTGAGCAGGATGGGGATCACAGGCAAAGACAGTATAATTACTTGTAACTTTTGCTTCTATGCTTAGGTTTTTTTTTCTTTTTTTAACATTTTTTTTAGGAAAATCTATTCTTGATCCTTAATCATGGGCCCTTAATCTCAATCTTGGAAATCATGTCTTACTGAGTACTCATACTTTAAAACATTATTCATAGCTAGTGTGACCGGCACTATCCAGAGGCCAAAATGACAAATTGTTCTTTCTGTTTCAATACATTGAGCAATAAGTAACCATGACTGGTCAAATAAAAGGGAATTTCAAACCCATGCACCAATGGTGGTTATTCCGTTTTTGCTGGAAAACTAGCCAAGATATGCAAGTGTTATAATGGATTGAGGGAGCTCGAGTTTCTCTATGTAGGATTTAATAGGCTCTTAGGAGTCCTGGTTTTCAGCAGATAACTGCTGAACACTTGCAGAAAATTACACTCCGTTAATATAAGCAAAGCTGGACATCCCCATTCCTAGGCTGCTTTCAAAATCTTGGCTCACTGACTATGCCACCTGTAGTAAAAGCTCTTCCCAAGGAAAACAGCAACACCCACCATGCTGCTGCCTCCCTGGCAGTAAATGTAGGGCTGCAGATGGCTACTGTAACAGTGCAGGACGCGGGCTAGGTAATGAGCCAAATCCCATCCAAAAGGATCTGGCTGGGATCCCAGGGAACACCCTGCAACTCATGAGGCTCATTTTAATTAAACTGAGGAGCCTCCCTGAGCAGCATGCTCTGTTCAGGGAAAAGACTTGATACATTCATTCTTCCTAACAGATTTTACATTATGGAGCCTGATCTTCCCTGGTTGACTTGGTGTTAAATTTGCTACATCTTCTGCAAAATAGTTTTGAACATCGTGGGCATCTCTCAGTAGCAGCATCAGTGCTTGCTTGTGCAGAATCACTTCAGTTTTCTTACAATGTCATGCTCTTATTAACTGCTTTAATTTCACTAAAATTCTCATACAATTCATCATTATTTTCAGCTGTCAGTACCTCGTAGTTTGTATAAACAGAAACATTCGGTTTAAATTACCCTCGGGTATGTCTTGGTATATCTCTTACACAAGAACCATGCAATATGTATGCTGTCCTCCACTGCCTCTTTATACAATGGCATTTTTTAATCCTTGTAGTGAATGTCAGTAATTTCTGTGCCCATGGCTCAGCAAGAAATGCTCAGAATTCATGGAAAAAGTAGGTGCTTAACCAGATACCCCTATCCCCAAATGTTTCAGTCACTAGCTCTGCCTGTATATATTTACATGTTCCATATGTTACAAGTTAAAACAGCATCTCCCTGAAACTAGGCAATGAATTAATTTTTGTCAACTTACAGTAAACACTAAAATACTTAAATTTTTAATTAAAAAAGTTATAAACCCCGCTGAGGCTCTTCTGATGTTTTAAAAAATTAAGTTTCAGTGATCAGAGACTTTTCAGTATTTATGGGAAAATCCTAGGGTTAATACTGACAGATCCACTTTTTTTTTTTAAATGTGAATTTGGATTTTTGCTATGGATTTTATTCAGAGGTCACTGAAAGGAATGAAAAGATGGAAAAGCATCGTTTTATACACTTTGGCTCAGGTCCTCTTAAGTAACCCATAAATTCTGTTTAGGTTATATTCTGACAGAACCAAGCTTCCTTCTATATGTTTTCCTTTAATATTGCATTAAAGACATTGGTGACTCTGTACTGGAATCATTCTGGAAATACTGCAAGAGGGTGGGATTCTCAACAGCATCCAACTCATTTATAGGCACTTTCTGTCAAGGCACAACAGCTTCTTTGGTGACTTTATTTTTTAAACTCCACCTCCCATAATTGAAAACTATGTGTGTATTCTTTGCTATCATTTATTTGGTTTTGAGATTTTTGTATTGATTTGTGCTGTAACGAGTTCTTAGGGCTAGGTCCACAGAAGGATTTTTCTTCAGCAGTTACTAAGCGCCCCACCTTGATGTTTGAGTGTTTAAACTCTGTATAGGGCCAGGCAGAGGACGATGGGTTCTGTAAAAGCCAGCTCTCTTCAGCCAGGTATTGGGATCAGCCAGGAGGAACCACCATCTCCTAGTGGCACTTCTAGTTGCAGAAAAGCCTCTTTCACCCCCTTCTCAAGCTGCAGGCTTCCTGACATGTGATTGCCTGGGGGCAACTGGCCCTTTCCAGGATTCAGAGCCATGAACCTTCTGCTAAAGGTAGGGATGTTGCTGAGTCTTCCCTTAAAGGGAGGTTTCCTGTGCTCAGTGGGTTATGGCATCACCCGAATGTCACTGTAAAGTTCCTCCTTTGCCTGGTGACCTGACGTCCCTGAGGAGGAGGAGAGCGGCTTGCCCCAACCAGGGTTGTTGGGGTTCTTTGCAGGAATGAGCTGAACCGCACAAACCCTTTCTGACCTAGAGCAGATATTCTGTAATTCCCTGGGAGGTGGAGCAGCTTCATTTATGGCGCTGAAGATTTTGGAGGAGGGGGCTCTACTGTTAGTTTTTGGCACCACAGGACTTTTGTGGACTCATCCCTAAAACCTCTGGGATGAGGAGAGCCATTCTCTTCCTGGGTACAGTTTTATCGCCTTCAGTAACGGTGGGTCAGGGACAATTTGAGCTTTTCTAGTAAAAAAAAAAAAAGAACAGTTACTGGGAAGACTAGCCCTGATTGTAGGTCTCTGAAACCAAAGGAAAGCTTCAAAATGTGAGTCCTGATTAAGTGAAATAGCAGAATCAAAGCATTTGTATTAACGTCCCACCATACTCTTGCTCACCCCAAAAGAATCCTTTTCTTCAAAAAGCTTTTAGCTTGATTATTTTCTTTTATGCAATAGCTTCTTAGGCAGCAATTTGGTGCATATGTGCATGTGTGCATGTGAGGACGTGTGTGTCTGGGGATGTTATTTTCTAGTCTGAAAATGCCGGTGCTCTTTGTGAGTAATAATTTTTGTGGTTTTAGGTTCCTGCCACTGTGGAAAGTGCATCTGTTCACCGCAAGAATGGTACATTTCGGGCGATTTCTGTGACTGCGATGACAGAGACTGTGACAAACATGACGGCCTCATTTGCACAGGTGCAGTCCAGGTTAACACTTAATTGCTCTGAGAAACAAACCGTGTTGATGGGAATTATGTTAGACAAAGCCCGGCTACTTCTTTCTCCACTGGTGGAGGGAGGGCATTTGCTGGTTATTCAAACCTGCTGTAATAGTTTCTTCGTGCAGCGTGATAATGGACATAGGGTTTCAAAACAACAGATGAAAGCCTGAGTACGAATTTAAATAAGTAAACCAGACCTGAAATCCACCAAGAATTTTCACTGTAATAGACTACAGGTTACTGCTTTTTGGCAAAGGATGGACAGCATCAACATTGTGATCATGAGGTTTCTTTAACTTTTGTTCTCCTCCTGGACTTTCTATGGGTATAATGCATTTAAGTCGCAGACAAAATTCACCTGTCTGATGATCGTCGGTAGGTGAGAGGCATAGTTGTGTGGATTAACAGAGCTTCCTGGCAATCAGACAACTCTCAGCAGGAGGCTGAAATACCTGACAGTTTTTCTTATGACGTGACGGCGAGTGATTAAAGCGGCTTCACCTTAACGTTGTCTGAGAGTTCAGGTGGCAGATGCGGCTGGAAGCAGGCGGGCTGCCAGCAAACCCTCACGACAAATCTAGTGACAAGAAGCAACATGGGAATTGCTTAAATTAACTCACTGGCTGCTTCCTGTTACAAATCTTAATTTTAGAAAATCTTTGCTGAGCAATTATTAGATGTGGAGGAAGTGTGCAAGACGATTAGAGTGAGAGTGGGAGGGCTGACAGTAGTAAATGATGTCTTCCAGCTAGCCCTATTAGCAAGGGTCCTTTTCTGGGGCCAAGTAGCCAGTAGAGAGACAACAGGAGCCTTGTCTCCAGCTGCAGCAGCTATTCACAGATCTCCATTAAGTCAGTAGGAAGAGGAGCTAACATTGGAAACCCAGGCTGTAGAGGTCTCAAGCTGAGCGTCCAGGAGTCATGAAAAATATTGAAATAAAATTAAAATATGGGTCTCAGTGCTTAATGTTTCCCCAGTGCAAAATAGGGCCAACACATTTTTCATCTAAGAGAGAGTTTCAGATATTATTTGTTTCTATAGCACTTCTGAGAATTTACGTTTAAAGTTTTTCACGTTCAGAGTGATGTTTTTATTGCTGGTCTGTTTGTAACTTTTTATGTCTTTTTTCCTTCTGTATAATAGTTAAAAGTAATCTTGTTTTTCCTTGTACCTGGAGGTACAGTGTGAACACGGAGCCTCGACAGCTGGGTACAAATAGTGGTGGCGTAATTACAATATTTGCAATTCCGCTGATGGAATTATTGAGAGAATGCTATTAATGCCTCATAAGTGTAGGTTTGGGGTGGCTTCTTAATGTGATGGTACAGTAATTGCTTCCTTCCAAAGAAAAAAAAAAGGGGTGTGGGGAACAATAATGGAACAATGCAACTACTTTAGCATGGCTTTTTACTTCCCGTAAAACACATTTTAATGTGGTACATTTCAATTATGATAATTGCCCTTTATTCATTCTGTTCTAGGCAATGGTGTTTGTAGCTGTGGCAACTGTGAGTGCTGGGAAGGATGGAATGGAAATGCATGTGAAATCTGGCTGGGCAGAGAATACCCTTAACACAGGACATCAAAGACTGAGGAGGTTTTTTGTTTGTTTTCCTTTAGGCTGCTAGAACATTTAATTTCAGAAGTACTCAGTGTGTGGTGTGGGTGTGCATGCTCACACGCGTACATGGGCATAAATGCTTTAGAACACTTGTTTGAGGGGCTCCTCCTTAAAGACATGCATGACAAAACTAAAAGAAAAAAATTAAAAATGCCTCGGGAGCAGGACAGTCCAAGCTCTGAAAGGTGAAGTCATAAAATACTGGCCCTGTGGAACTTCTCCAGAGATTTTTTGTAAATTCAGTGAGACTGAGATTGCACCCATAATGCCTATTTCTTAATCAACCTTAGGAAAAGGTATAAGAAAGCCTTATTTTTTTAACATTATTTACTTGGTTGTCACCTCTCCATATCAGTATGCACCAATAATCCTGTAGAAGAGTAGCACTAATTGAATATTTGTCAAATAATTAACTTGGTTAATTGTACGGTGTTTAGCGAATACATTGTCTTGCCCTTTTTTTACTTTCTAACAATCCTGATTATGCACCAGCTCAGAAATTGAGAGAAGCTGTAAAGAAGCTTATCAGAATATTAATGATTTTTTTATTTGGTCCAAGAATTGTGTTGGTATAACTGAGGTCCAATTACCTGACAACCACAGACTGAGGACCCAACATGTTTGAACAGACCCTTGTCCACAAGAGAACTTCTTAGTCTCTGTGGTTAATGTGCCAGTGAGTTTGTTATCTAGTTACATGCTATGATACTTTCCAATACATAACCTATAGGAGTGTAAGGAATGAAACTAATAAACATATAAATGTATGATTACCTATTCTGAATATGTATCCTGCAACTCATGTACTTTTATCATACTGGTCTATGTAATGCACAGTTGCCTAGTCCTCTTAAAAGTAAAGCAAATGAAAATCTGTTATACTAATAACTTTTAGGATGACAATTCTGTATGCTATTAGAAATCACTGTTTGGAACAGATTGCACCGTCACACATAGTATTCATTGAATTTAACTGCTTTTATAGAAGTGGGGAGTCTGAAGGTCAACTGACTTGAAAAATCAGCTACTCTATGCAGTGGCCTGGTCTCAGCCAAAGATGTTCAGACAATGGCAACAAAGTAATTAAAGTTTTAATATAGTAAATACAAACAAAGCAGTGGTATGAACAAAAATTTTATTTTTATTTTCCAATGGTGAAATGCTGCTCAGTGTGAAATTCACATTGAGTTATGAACGATGCACAGCTATTGGGACTTCCCTAACTTATTTACATATGAGTCTTATTTTTTTTGTACACATAGATTTGGCAGCCCTTGAATTCTTTAGAGCAAAAAAAGATACATACATTTTAGTTTCAAAAGAGTTTACATTTTGTGAAATCATGATTGAGCAAGAAATTGTTTAAATGGTTGGAAAATATTTCTTTTTAATACCAAACTGTAACATTGTGATTTAGGTGCCAAGGTCCTGATTTTTGAAGAGGTACATTAGTCAGAAATAAGGGAACTATGTATCAACCAAAAAAGGTATTTCCATTGTTAGTCTAGAAATTAGTTTTCTTTTAGAAAGGACAAATTTGAAACAGGAAAATACAATGGTACAGAACATGTAATGGAATGCAAAAAATTTTAATGAATTTATTTAATCACTTTTATGATTCCCCTTTCCCATGTAGCTTGCTCTTTCTCTTATCCAATTTTTTTCCTTAACCTGGATTCATTCTTTCTAAAAATGAAGCTTGTGAAACCCATGTTCTCAGGGAGCATAATCGCCAAACATCCATGCATAACTTATATAGAAGTTATGCAGATAAATAATGAGACATACATCCCAAAGCTGCTAGCTGCTCTCTTTTTAGATAACCAAACTATCAGGCAGAGTTCTAAAATGCATTGATACAGTATAAAGAATCTTCAAAGTAAAATTAATCTTAAAATTATAGTTTATGTTATACATATAACCCTTAAACTCTGTAAAGCTTAACAGGAATATTTTCTGAAATTTTAACATATATGCAATTTGTCAACCCTGCTGTCTGGAGAGCACAGATTGTTGGTTTTATTTGTATTTGTGAATACCGCTGACCTGAATCATTTTCTAATCAGTGTTTTTTCGCATATACATTCATCTGCTGAATCAGTGTGTAAACAATGAAAAATACAAAGTTTTCCGTGATTTCCTTCCATTTGTATTCAGTAATCTAATAAGAAAATACCAGATAATCAAAACTCTTATCTAAGTTCAGTAGATGCTTTTGACTTGTTTCATGGTATGAAAAGCAGATTTATATATACTGTAGATCAGCCGTGGTATTTCAGGTACTCTTATCCACAGACAAAAGAACAATTCTTCAGAGGGCTGTAATGTCATATTTGATACGTCTTACTTTGTAATTTGCTTTCATTTTAAATTTATATACTTAAAGAGTGTAAGATGATTCTCTTTTCTAGTTAGAACTTTTTAAAAAAACCCAATCAACTCCAACATTTTGGCTACTAGGTTGTTTGTTAAGGTACATATGGAAAAATATTAAAATATGCTAAAACAGCTACTGCCAGTGGTTCATTAAGATGTAAATTATCAAACAAAATGGTGCTATCACTATAAACTTTGAAGTATTAACTAAGACTACTAAAAATATAATGTATACATAAATTCCCTTCCAATTTTTATTCTGTTTCTTATAACGGTGCTTGAACATTACCCCTGCTCTTCATGCTGAGGTAACTGGTGATGTAACTCCCAGCAGATCTGTTTCGTGGCTCATTTTCTCACTAGAAAAAATGAGATCGGAAGGAATAAGATTACTATTCCACATATGTGAAAATAATAGCTGTATTAATAAATTGTGATTTTACACCTCATTCCCTGTGACGGGAATTCTGGATACACAAACTGTAAAGCAGGAAGAGGTGTAAGGGAGTGAAACACACTGCTTCATTCTTCACACCTAGTGACTGTAAAAACTTGCTTCCAGGCCTGTGGTGAAAGGCAGTTCTAGGTGGTAAAAGTAAATGGGATAAATGGGGATTTTGTACTAGCTAGACTGATAAAACTTATAAACAAAGGATACTATAGCCTTGCTTTCTTCTTATGAGAGAAAGAGCACAACCCAGAGGTGTGCTGAATGCTTCTACAATAGACTTGCAAGATTATGCCTGCTGTATAGAACATAGCTGCAATATCACCTATAAAACAGTTGTGGATTGATTTGCTTGTATAAATTATTGTGATCCTTTTTTCCTTGGCCATATTGTCTTCTAGAAACACGTAGATGAACATTTAATCATGTACCTGCTCTGACATTTCTGATGCGCTGCCCTTGTTTCTTTACAGAATGACATCTCACTTTGTAGCTAAATGGTAGAGCTAAATGATACTGGGGTGAAGAAAGCTAAGTTAAGTCGAATAGTTCTGTGACTGGGTAATAGAACAAAAATTTTATTACTTCTTTAAAAATAAGTCATAGCATTTGCATTAGTCGTCACAAAAACTCAGACACCTGTTATTAGTTATTTTAAAATGTATTTCACAGAATATGAGTTTGTCTAAAGGGGCATTTAAAAGAAGGATAACATCCTTACTTAGCCTAATTTTACTTGCATTCCCATTTGAATGGAGCTGAGTAATTTCTTCTTTATACCAATATACAGATGGATCAGCAAGACACACTTTTAATGCATGGACCGAACTGCCTGCTTTCATACCTCATTGCTTACAGTGGTTTTAAACCAAGAGAAAAAGTTTCCCTATATACATATAAAAAGTCAGACTTAGTGTTGTTTCAGGTGTATATACCATAGTCAAAGTGAACTGCTTTTCTTCATATGGGGGGGGGGGGAGGGGGGGAGGAAGGGGTTTGTTAAGAACCAACCTGACTCTACACAAGTTAAAGTTTATGAAAAGGACAGTATATCAAAAAATTATTCGAGTGGCTAAAAACCCCAGCAAATTAAGCAAAAGCTGTGTTATGTGAACTACAAAGCACTTAAAAGCTATAGACACCTTTCTATAGGCTCTATCATGTGAGTGATCTCATGAGGATTCTTGTGTATTTATAAAATTTTTGAAGTACAACAAAACAGTGCTTTTAAAACTGGATTTCTCAAACTGTGCAGGTGTGACTGATTTTGCCAAATAGAACTGTAGCTGAAATACAGATAAAAAAAAAGAAAAGAGATAATGACTATGTGCAGTGTTAACATGAAATAGTAAGATGAGGTTGGATTGCTGTGCAAACAGTCTCTCAGAGATTAGATAAAACCCAGAAGAAGAACAAAATACAAAGCAAGCATGCAAAAGATCTGGAACGCTGCAGATTCACAGACAGCTGGACATGTAAGTACAAAAAACCCAATCTGTAAATACAAATTGATTCTATCAGGTTTACTATACAGTACTTTAGTAGTAACAGACAGTTGAAAACAGCTTTCACTTAACAGCAAAATTAATTTTAGAGGGAAGAAAATGGTGAAGTCTCATCCTCGAGAACAGCAAGAGAGGTATTATATTAAGGAGCTAAAATTTTCTTTGGCATGGTAAAAGGGGAGAACTGAGTTTGCCAACCTATTTACATGAAATTTCACCATCCTGTGGCCAGTGCAATGGTGTTTTGCACAGTCTACGTCTTACATAAACTTTTTTGTTGTTTTCCAGTACGCCTTCATATAAATGTTTTATTCATCATGTTGAATCTGTGTATACAACAAATAAGAATAACCACAAACTGCACAATGCAGACAAACTCTTTGCATATATGTATGTAAATTTAGTAATACAGACCGACAGTTCTTTGATAAGACACAATCCATTACATGCAGTTCATCCTTGTCATCCTCTTCCCATGCAACAGATGAGACAAGAGACAAAATTAAAGGGAGGAAACAAAGCACAAAGACCCCTTTGCTATGTTTAAACAGATTGCAGAATATTTTTTTAGAACGTCTATTCACTGGATTAAACACACATATGGATTTAGCCCATAGAAACAA